TATTCTATATTTATGTTCATACTAAAATTTCCCATTTTGGTAAGACTACACATATTCGAGCTTGGTTTTGCCATATCTATTTTATAAATACTTTAGTTAGATATCAGAAGTATTTTTTGATTTGAGCAACTGCTGACTTATACACAAGAAATGTTAATTTTACAGGACACAAAGAACTTGTCAGTCAGTCTACCTGTAGCAACTCCTCATTAGTATACAAATATAGATTTTATAATGCAGTTAGTAACACACTACATACATAAACTTGTAATTCAATTTACAGTGACTATGACTTTTAAGATACTTTGACAACTTTACAACCTTTTCACATGTATATGTAATATATGGTAGATGATCCAACAAAGAAAAGCAGTCTCTATTCTGTATGAAAGGGAATTTTTTTTTTTTTAATTTTCTACTGCTACTGAGAAAAACTAGAGAAAATTCAGACCTAAAAAATCATTTATACATGATGTAAAATAGAAGATATATGTGCTTGAAATCAAATGTAAAATATAAAGCTATTAGGGTTAAAAGAGCTGCTAATACATTTTAAGGCCGAGAGGAAAGAAAACAGGATCTGAAAACAATGCTGCAAACATGATTTCAACAGCACCTGCCTGGCAGCTGATCACGGACCTGAAAAAACAATTAAAATTCCCAAGTCATATAGTAGAGATAACACTTTGCCCCAATCTATTAGTTTATTTGAATAGCATAAAGAAGTTAATAATTTGGGAATTATCGGTTGCTTGGGAAGAAAACATCACACTGGCCAACGAGAGAAACCGTGAGAAATACCAGGAATTGGTTGAAAGGTGCCAGCAAAATGGTTGGAAAACTTACTTCGATCCAATAGAAATTGGGTGCAGAGGTTTTGTGGGACACTCACTGGGCAAAGTATTGGTGAAAATTGGAATCATGGGAGCCGCAAAAAAGCAAGTACTGAAAGAAAATTTAGATGCAGCTGAAGAAGGATCCCGGTGGATTTGGCTGAAAAGGAATGATCCACGGATTAAAAAATGAATAATTCTGTTCATTGAATGAAATTATTTTTTATTTATTTATTTTTTTTTTTTTTCAAGTAAATGTAAAAGAAAAATACTTACCATAATGTTGGCTCATATGCAGGAAAGGCAAAACTAGAAAGTGTGCCCATGTCGCACTGTTGTTTTTATACCTCTAGACAGCAGACAAGGAAATTCTGATTGGCTAATGCAAGTCTCATTGCCATTATAAAATAAAGATCTACCTCCTCATTATTAATACATTTTCTGTTATTAAAATCACATCGTGGAGCAAATTATGCAGAGAGACGGCCTGTTAACAGGTCAAGGTACCTGGCAGAACGGATTTGATGTTGCAGTACCCAAAATCCATAATGAAGCCAGGATTACATCACTGATGACCACATACCATTGCATTTTATAAATGTATTTTAAGAAACATTGAATGCTTTCGGGATTTTTTTTTCAGTTTATTACAGAATCTATGGAATTTTAAAATGTAAATATTAATCAAGTTTAATTTTATGGATTCACTGAGTTAGTTGTGTGTTCAATATATTGAAGATAATTCCGGAAAGAATAATTTCTGTTCACATGTAAAGAAATTTCAAACAAGTCCTTTATAAATTTAAGTTTCAAACAAAACTTTTTAGGTTATTTGTAAGAGTATTTATATACTGAAAAAAAAAATCTGTTTTTTAATACTTTAACTTTTGATAGGCATTTTTTTTTTTCTATTATAATGCATTTTCAGATTTCTGTGTTACATTTGCACATCTTGGATGATGGAATAATTAAAAAAAAAAAAAAAACTTGAGTGTATTGAAACTGATTTGTTTGAACAAGAAAATTGAGAAGATCAAAAAAAAAGTTGATTGTTTCATAATGAAATCATTGAATGTTTCATGATTTAAAAGCCAGTCAGTACCTTAGTACAGATCACAATTTAGACAACCACATTAGATATCAAGGAGTAGGTCACCCAGAAAAAGATACCAGTCAAGATCTTCAGGTTGTAGACAAGAAAGTGAAATTTTCATCAGGATGTGACACCTAAGCATATTGAAAACAATCCAACTAAGGAAGGCTGATATCCACGTAGGAGTTCATGATAAAGTAAAACATGTTATACACCATCAACAATGCTACAACAAAAAGTATAATATATCAATGACTATAGTTACTCTCAGTTAATTTATCCGAGATCTATCAGGATTCTGTCACTTTCTCTCATTCGAGTTATTGGCAAAAAGCTGGGTAAGATGAAATGAACAGCAAAGTTTAACAAGCATCCCACGCCCACAAAATGGTGCATCAAATGTATGGTTTTTCTCTTGTCACGGCTCTTACTGTTTCTCTCTCCGTAATTTAAGTTATTTCTAGAATTTTAATTTTAAAACCATTTAAACATTTTTTTTCTTGAGAACCAACAAAAATATTAGACACTATTTGTTTATTTACAAGAATAATTTTACATTAATAAAATTATAAAAACATATGAACTCGCTACAATGCAATATTTATTATTTACGACAAAGAAATAACTGAAACCATTTTTTATTCATAAATTTATAAAAACTATAGAAATTTTGAAAAAAAAAAACTGCATTTTCCAGATATAAAATAATCTGAGATGAAAATATATCTCAGATAACCTTTTTTTTCAATTTTTGAAACAAGTGTCTGTGTCTCATACATTTATCATAAATTACATTTTCAAAATCTCAAATTAATCTTTCCTTACAAATAAAAAAAAATAATAATCAGGATATTGGATGCCTACTTGATAGAAATTCAAGTTCTGAAATGCCAACAATTATGGCTTAATCCCCTTCCTAGTTAAGGAAAAACAATTTTGAGGGGAAAAAAAATTTCTTTGCGAATTTTTCCAAAATTTATCATTTATTTAAAAATATATAAATTCAGTTTCATATATTTAGCTTTACTAAAATAAAAAATTCTGCAAGAGTATAAAGTAATAGTTGTGTCAAGAGAAAAACTGTTCTTTTGACCTTGAAGCGTTTGACACTCACAATATATACTGAAAGCAAGAGGTGCTTAGGGAAACTCAAGTAACCTGCCTAACAAGCTTGTGTAAATGGATGGCAAAACATTGCTTAGAACTACAAAGGATAGAAAGTTGTGGAGAGCCATGATCTTCCGCATTCTGAAGGAATATAGCCTATAAAAGAAAAAAAGTATTCACTGCATTGCCAGCGTTTGCAGTTTCAATGTAGCAAAGCTTAAACACAATCTTTTTTTCTGTATAAAAGAAGAAATATTTTGTTATAGCCTGTTATTTTTTCCCCACTCATGACAGGAAATTTTTTGTTTTCTTCTACATATATGCAGAACTGGTTCCAAAATTATGCAGGTTACTAATATTTACTACTAATGAACAGTTCAAATGTTTTTCCAGTTCTAGGATTTTAACAGGCTCTGAATATATGTAGACATGGTAGCATACATTCACATTTTCAAAATAATCAGATTAATAAGCATAATGCCCTTTTTAAAAGATCAAGTTCTTTGCACTGCATAATTTGATATGACAAATAGGGAGCCCAATTATTCATGCTTGTTATGGTTATTAAATTTTTCAAACTTTTTTACATGCAAATTATGTACAGTAATCATTGTGTGGTGGCAGCTAAGTATTTCTTGGGGTTTCATTGGATATTTCAGGAAATGAACCAGTCAATTATTCATGAAACAGTTTAGCAGTTGAACCAATTGGACCAACTAAATGGCAATGCCAATATTCAATTTGTACATTTATCAGGCTTTCTATTTTTGTATTGCATCATTTTTCCTACAGCATAAATTTCACACACAAAATCTTGCTTGTCCATAATTTTCATTCCTTCAAAAATATTTTCTATCTACCTCTTTAATGTTACAATGACCTAAAGTTGTGTGTCATTATTTTAAATTGAATGAAACATACTTCACAAAATTTGCATTGTTAAGAACTACCTCCTTTCAATATTAAGTATTGTGTTATCAAGACATGTTAAGAGAAGCTCTTCTATTGATGGCTTGTACAGAAAATGAAATATATGATTTAAATGATGGTATACAAAGTGTATCTTTCAAGATGCAACTCTAGCAGTTTCAAATGGAAATGTACAATGCAATACAGGAAATACCCTTTTTAAAGTGATGAAATTTGTTCTGTCAATGCAAAGTGATTTTCAGGGTTAAAATTGTTATTGACATAATGAACAAGTTTTTTTATCACTCTTTACATACATACTGTCATATGCCCTAGTCGCCGAATGGGTTTATAAGGCGATCATACGCCGACTAGAAGATATATACATTCTCACACCTGTGGAGAGATACAAGTTATCTCTCTCAGATCGTGACAATGGACAATTGGTATACAAAAAATAATTTTAAGAACACTGTTCGATTAGGATAATCAAACAGTAATCTTTCCCAGGCTCGCTTCATTTTCAACACGAATACTGATCCACAATACAAGGATGAACTATAAGGCTTAGTGATTTTGATAGAAGAACTTTAATATGTACAAATATACAAATATTAAAATAAAAGAAAATGTAAGTATGAGTAAAACATCTGACAACCAGATCTCAAGACTTACGTTGGGATATCAAAATTCGCCTAACTCCAAATGGATTCGACTGAACCCGAACATACAAAATTATAAGTATGGACTACTATGAATTGAATGCAGAAGCCAACGCATACGCAAGAGATGGGATAGGAGTTACAATTATTATTTTGACATGTGGAAAGGTGTTTGCAAGAACATAATATTCATGGATGTATGTATATCTTTCTACTATGGGTCCAAAATATGATTACTTATCTTTTATATTCAGTTCTCTTTTTTTTTATCATTGTCCTTTCTTTTCTTTATCTCGACACAAACACAATTTCACACACTGTCCGGCTGTAACAGAGGTATACACCTTCTTCCTCTCTTTGTTTTGCCTTTTTCTTTCCTTCCTTTTTCTTCTGTAGACAGTTCGGTTTCCAAACCCGACTCACTGCAACAGCGATGTACACTTTCTTCCTCTCTTTGGTTTTCTTCTTCTTCTTTACACAATTCAGCTTATAACAGAGGTATATACTTTCTTCCTCTCTGGTTTTCCTTTTCCTTTTCTTTACACAATTCAACTTATAACAGAGGTATATGCTTTCTTCTCTGGTTCTTTTTCTTTAAACGCAGGCTGAATCCTCAGCATATAAATTTCTCTGCATCTTCAATTTGGGGTTATCGAACAGGAATACTTCTTGTTATATTTCTTGTCTGGAGTTGCCTGGGTTGAACTGGATAAGTTCTATCACTATCAAATGAGTCTTATCTTTCCGTTCATAAACTATCAGCGCTTCGACTTCAGGTCTTGCTTCTTCAAAGTGAAGATAGCAACTGATTCCCAAGTGAATCTCTGACTATCACGTGTCTTAAGTTTTGGCGCGAATTCCAGCTTACATCAGTCCCCTGTCTAGCTTCTGTCTAGACATTTGTCGCTACGGGTAATTGGGTCAGTCAACCTTTTGACCTGCCTTCCCAAAATGTCATAAGACTCCCACGTGACCTTTATTCTGTTGCTAGGCGGAAATTAACCTTAATAGATGCGTGTCTATGCTATCTGCTTTCATCACAATACATACATAGATTCCAACTGAAAACAAGATAAGAATGTTCTTCCTTTGCAGTGGCCTTGTAAAGCCAAATACTGTTTAACTAGGAATCTAATAATACAAGTGTTGTTCAAAAAGTTCTAAGCCTCACCCAGAAAGAAGAGCCATAGCTGAACATTTGTTGTGGCAACATACTACCACTTCTTATAAAACTAGAAAAACTAATTCACATTGTCTTAATTAAGATGAGGCCCGGGCAGTCATAAAAAACTTCTTGGAAAGAAAGTTATGACACCCAAGGAAATCCACGAGGACATAAGACAGACATTTGCTGAGGGCTCCCCTCCCTATACAACTGTGAAGAAGTGGGCTGCAGAATTGAAACAGAGCAGGGACAGAACAGATGATGACAGTCAGGTCATCCAAAAAGCTCAACAACTGATGAACAAGTTGATGCCATTTTCACTGTATGGTTTGGGATGAGAGTTAATTTGCTGGAGGGTAAGATATCTAATCCATAGGCATTAAATCTGGTTTAGTCCATACTGTTTTGAGATCTTGAGGATGAGTCCCAAGAATGCTGACACTAGAGCAGAAACTGAAAAGGGTTGATATTTCCAGGCTGACCATGAAAATTTCCACTGCAGATTAGTAACTCAAGATAAAACCTGGGTTCACCACTTCGAACATGAATCAAAACAAACAGTGGAAACACTGGTTCTCCACCCCTGAAGAAGTTCAAGCAATCAGTGTCTGTTGGCAAGGTGATGGCTTTTATATCTTGGGATCCTTAAGGACCAATCATGATAGACTACTTAGAAAAGGGGAAAACTATTAATGGATAGTAATATGCATCAGAATTAAGACAACTGAAGGAAGGAAGCAAGCAAGCAATCAAGTCGAAATGCTGATGGTAGATGTGCTCTTGCTTCAGGATAATGCACCTATTCACATGGCTCAGGCTGCTGGAGCTGAAGCTGCCAACTGTGACTTTGAATTGCTACCTCATCCCCCTTACCAGACTTAGTTCCATCTTATTTCTTCCTGTTTCTTAAATCCCACTTGCATGGGAGCCATTTTGGAAATGATGGGATCATATATGCTGTGGAGGAGTTTTTGGAGGACCAACATGCCACCTTCTTCAGTGATGGGATTGCAATGTTTACACATTGTTGGACTCAAGTGCATTGATATCAAGAGGGGACTATATTGAATAAAATAGTGAAAAACGTTCTTATTTCTCTTCTGAGGCTCAGAACTTTTCGAATGACTCATTGATTTTCAACAACTTGTGTTTTTTTTATCAATTGTTGCTCCATAAGCAATCCTAATTTCACACTCCTTCCACTGTGAAATTCTGAAAGTGAGCTGCACTGGATTCATGCTTGGTCGAATCTTAACATTCTTTCACTCTTTAGAAGTTTAAAAAAAAATTAAAAAAAAAGCACTAACAGATATTTTAGTTTTCTAGTTTGTCTTTTGATTGATACCTTGATGAATTACTTCAGCAAAATCCGAATCTAGATTTTGAACCACAGATGCACGAGAAAGATCCGTGTCATTGCTAATCTTGCTTGGCCATAGGCCAACATCTTTTATATCTACAGAATATATTCTTCCTTATGTTCTTTCACTTGAAGTAATTTATCAAATTGCTTGAAATAGTGCTCCCTTCATGCATTTTTCTTTCTTTAGCTCACTTCATCTGGGGATAGAATGACAGAAGTAGAAAAGATTTGTTTTTCAAGAAATAAATTCACACTGCATGCTTAAGATTTAAAAAAAAAAAAAAAAGAAAAGACAAGAACTTTATTGCTTTTGTAAATTTACAAAAAAATTCAAAGTGTATTATATACATTTTTTTTTTATTATAGTAAATGAATATACAAAAAAAAAAATAATGTTAGACCAAAAGTGACATACATAGAAAAACATTGTAAAGTATTTTCAATCTGAACATTTTTTCTTAAATACTATTTCCTCTGCAAATGCATCATCAAACTCACATCTGAAGATAAATGTTGATTCCACTTGTGCAACATAAGCTGATAAAGATTATTTCTGCTCCTTGTTGAAGCTAAAGAGTTTATCACAACACTGAAGGGAGATGTAATATCAATGACTTGTAAAATGTAAAAAATGGAGTCATAATATACTGTAACTCATTGGCCTTGGTATACCTAATCTTCATGACAACTACTAGAGTTGTTTAAATACTCAGAATCACAGAGTGCCTTTTCATCTTTCCTTTGTCTTAGAGATGGAGATGAATCAACTGATTTTCTTGTCAAGTAGTTGTGTAAAGAGCTGCTTCCAGTTGAGATTTACTTCTACTGATCTTGATACTTTTAGAGATCTAGGTTAAAATAACTCAAAAAGATTTTGAGAGTTGAGTATTTGCATCATTAAATATATTTTCTTTCACATTTGAAAAAAAAAAAAAATCTAAATTGAATATCTATTTTAAAAACAAAAATGTACTTGTAATTTTTCATTGCAATTCTGAAATTCCTCCAATTTGCTGTTTGCAAAAGGGATTTTTTTTCTATTAAATAAAGATAGGTTTTAAGAATTTTAAGATGTAAAGTTTAATACCATTTTCTAGTGTTAACAATAGAAGGCTCCTATTGCCATCACAGCTCATGTATTATGATAATTTAAGCAAAAAAATACTTTAATCCTGTCAATTCTTTAATTTTACACATTTACTTTGAAACAAATAGACAAATACTGGATTTTAAGAGTTTTTTTTTTTTTTTTTTTTTTTTAAAACACATTTAGTTTCATTTGTTGGCAAGAATGGAGGTTTAATTAATGACTAGCAACTTTTTTTTTTTTTTTTTTTTTATAAGTTGGCTGTTATCTTTCAAATAAAAACAATTTCACTTTTTATAAAATAATCATAAAAACTTACTCTGTGTGTGTGTGTGTGTGTGTGGCCATTGGATGCTCGTGACCTTTATAGTTTAAAAGGAATAGGTTAGTGAGCTGACAGTTTAAAATTTAATTTTGGGATGTTTATCTATTCTTATTTTTAAATTTTAAGTTGTTCAGCTTCTCAATACATAGATTGCAATTTCTTTTTTATAATATCCAATCCTACTACTGGTGTTTTCCCTTTAGTTCCCCATATATGTTTTTGACAACATTGTTATTGCTATATCTTTTATATTTGAATGGTAGCAAAGGCTCTGCATATTTTTAAATTCTTTCCCGTTTTTTTCTTTTTAACAAGGTCTCAATTTTTGGTTCATATTAATTTATCTGCATTTTTCTTTCATCATATTCAATGCATTATTAAATTATTTTTCAAAACACATGGGAACTAAAAATGAAAATGCCAGTAGTAAGATTAGACATTATAAAAATAAAAAAAAAGAAAAAAAAAAAAGAAAAAAAGAAAAGGGAAACCCAGTGGAAGAAATTGCAGTCAATGTAAGCATGAAACAAAATTAACGAGTAAATAATAAAAAAATGTTATCTTTATGCAGATTGTGTGTCCAGGTCTTATGACCTGATTAGATTGTGACAAGATACAATAAAAAAACACTAGTATTATGAATAATATTACCAATGTTAGCAGCAGTAGTATTTAGATTAGTATTTAGATTAGTAACAATACAGTAAGCTGAAATACAACAATATAGTTTTATTCTAGATAATATCAACAGAGGATGCACCTTATACTCAAATTTGCAGTACACAAAAACTTCAGTGGAAATGTATTATCACATCATAATATCATGTTCATATTCCAACAAGATTTGTGAGTATTAAGATAAAAGACCATGGACGATGTGTGAGTTTTGTATGAATCAATTCATTGGTATGTCTAGTTATGAATTAGGTACAAATCAAATAAAACAGAGGTTAACCATTGACTACATTGTATTGAGGATGAATGAAAACCTCAACATTTCAGAGTATCAATTTTTTTTCCTCATTACAAAGTCAGTAATCTTGCAGTTGCTTGAAAATAGCTGCGGCTCCAAAGTAACAAGTTCTGATATAGTTATTGTATTCTTTAAATATTGCCAAGAGCTTTTGTATCTAGACATACTTATCTAAAATTGAAATAGTATAAGAGTTAAATTTAATCCATTCCACAAAGAAATTAATTTTGCCTAATATATCATCTTTCCAAATCAAGAATAATTATCCAGGACATGTTATACTGGAAAAAAAAAAAAAAAAAAAGAAAAGTTTCTTTAAATTTGCATAAACCCATTTTAAAAAGACGAAACACTTTATTAATGGATTTATTTTATTCTATTTTTAAAATCATAACTCATCTTTGACTAAAGAAAAAATAAAAATTCAGTGAAAATCATACTTCATGCTAAATTTAATTGAACAATAGTTCAAAATTTCTATTTGAATTCAGTATTTTACAAATAGACTGCAAATTAATGCGTGTTCATTTCATTATATGTAACTGTTTTTTTTTTTTTTTCAGTTTCTCTTGTAAAAAAAAAAAAAAAAAAAAAAAAAAAAAAATGTCCTAATGCTTGTAGGAATTTGAAGTTCAGCTCAAGAATGATATTTTGGTAAAATATGTAAGGAAGGTGAAATGTAATGACAACAAATTT